AAAAATTTTCATTCAATAGTTGTAATCTTCATGTCACTCATGGAAAAGAACATTACTGAGTTTGCTGTTTGGGTTTCTGTACTTTTAAATCAAGTTCACATAAATATAACTGCTTTAAATTTTTTAAAACAGAAGAACAATTATTTCAACAACATAGTGATTTACAAATCATCAGGGTGCTCAATGCAGTACTTAAATAACTGTTTTAATGTGTCTACAAAATTTTTTTTCTTATTGCCCACATGTAGATGTGATCGTAACTTGTACCCTGTGGACCTCAAGAATTTCATTGAGAAACACGAATCTGTGAGCAGTAGTGGACACCAATCTAAAGGTGAAGGCCTTAATGCTCAACTTGAAGAAGTGAACACATCTTCAAAATGCTGGGAAAATGGAGCAATGACTGCAAGAGAGTGGTTAACAATATTTAAGAATCATGACCAACTTACTAAGGTATTTTGTCTAAATACAATGGTGGTAAAATTGTATTAATTCACAGCGGCTTGTTGCAGGAATATGCCAAACATGGCTGTCAGGTAAAATGGCATATTTTAAAATTTTGTTTGGTTGTGGTTGTAGATCCAGGTCCATTATAGATAATCCCCTGTCAAGTGGATTTTCACAATGGAGATGCAGGACTAGGTGAATGTTTGTAATCATAATGGGCATGACATTATTTTATACATTATTTTATTCCTTAAGGGTCATTATTTCAATTGATTTATACTTCAGCTGCGTGGTACAACATTCTCATGGTTTGGCATGAACGATCCCAAAGATGAGGCCCAGTTATCCAGGAGGAGGGAGGATCTCAGTAAAGAAATTGTGGCTTGGCGAGTAACACTGCAACGCGAAAGGTGACTTTGTTGTTCCTGGATTGTAGATATTAATAGCGACATGTATTACAGACAATCTGCATCACACATAGCCAGTAATTGGAATAGTTATTGATCAAGCCTCTCAGTTATGCGGGGTTTGCTGCCAAAAGAAAATATTGCTTCTTTGTTTCACGTGGTTACCCCTACCCTTATCTCCAAGACAAAATGAAAATTTAAAAAGCAATTCAGCAGCTCAAAATAATTAACTAACACAGTAAGTCGGGTAAATAACCCGTTTTGCAAAATTGGATTCTGTGTATTTTGAAGAATGAAGAGGAACTTTTGTAGCACATTAAGTTTGCCTTGTGTTTCCTGCAGTGCTATAGAAAAGGGCTCGTTTTAAAATAGATGCTGTCGTCCATTACATCTTTCTTATTACGTCCTCATTCTATAAACTTCCATAGACTCCCCTCCCAATATACCCACAGGTATTTGAGCAGACCGTTTGATGAGAAATCGCATGCATCTGTTGATGACAAGGCTCTTGACCCGAGTCTTGTGGATGTCACGGAAGTAGCCTCTGCCAA